CTTGCTGGCTAGAGGTGTAAAAGCCATCAGAAAAAAAAAAAGAATGGATTTTCATGTTTAATTAACTGGGTTAGGACATCCACAAAAAAACACTAATTCACCTCTACATGTTAACATGTTGTATGAACTAAGTCAATAAGTGAACCCATACCGTTTGGTTGGAGTCTTTTGCCCACTGCTGGCATGTGGTACCTACCGGTAACAGATTATCCCACTGACTGCAAAGTTCATACTGAGATATAGTATGTGTGGAATCTGAGCCATTATGAACGTTATGCATGTTCTGAATCTAACTTTAAGAACATATTCAACCTTCCTGTGCAGCTCCATCCCAAACATCCTACTCTGAGGCTAGTATTTATTTGCCATCCGATTGACTATTTTGGTTCAGGTGGCTCCAATTCGGGTAAAACAAATACGTGCAATGGAAATCAAAGGGCTCGCATTTAAGTCCCATCAGGAATACTTGGTGCTGCCAAGCGTCAAAGTCACCCTCAACTATTTCCACCCTTCCCATCCCCACCCCCCACAGTGCTGAGACGCGTCAAGAGTTACAATGACTGGCAGCCCGATCCTCAAACCAGTTAAACAGGAGCCTTTGGATTTAAGCCGGCTTAGTCCTATTGAGCGAGAGCTAAACCCTGGAGAGGCCCAGGAAGCCGAGAGGGGGATGCGGTAGCCAAGACTCCATCCTGCTCCGCCCTGGATTAAAAGCCTTGGCATCTGAATTGTATTAAAGGGTGGTGGGATTGTCTGCGGGGCTCGAGATTTCGGGGGTCTGCATGGAGGCAGGAGTTGTGGGGAGCGGTGAGTTTCAGGGGCAGCCGGGCGAAGGGAAGCCGATGCGTCTGCAAGGGCGGGAACGGGGGCGGGGGGGGGGAATCAGGCGGAGTCGAAGAACAAAATCTGGGTGGGGAGAGGAAGGGCGGGAGAGGCTGGGGGCTTTCTCGCGGACTTCTGTAGAGTTTTTTGGGGGGACGCCCCGCCGCCTCTTTGTGAAGTTAGGCAGCGGGGCCGCGGAGTCCGGAGAGCGGTGAATGGGGTGGCGCTTTTGCGGCCCTTCTACGGAACCCCATCGCTTCCTTTGTCCAGCGCTGCTCGTTCGTCACTGACCCTCCGCCTCACCGGACTACAGCCAAACACGTCCGCCCCAGGCTATTTAGATACGTTAAAAGGAAGGCAGGAAGGAGATAAATGAGAAAGGAAGGAAGGAAGGAAGGAAGGAAGGAAATGTGGAAAGAAGGAAAGAAGGAGGTAAAGGAAGGAAGGAAGGAGAGGAAGGAAGAAGGGAGGAAGAAGATAAATGAGGAAGGAAGGAGAGAAATGTGGAAGGAAGGCAGGAAGGTGAAAAAGAAGGAAGGAAGGAAGGAAGGAAGGAAGGGCTTCACTTCTTCCTTCTTGACAACAACAAAATGCCAGATTTTTGTTTTGTGTTTTATGGTGAAGAAAGGAAGGGGGAACTTCCCCCCCTCCCCCGTGTCTCATTAACCAAGCCTGAATAAGGACACAGGATTTGGGGGGGGGGGGTGTTGTCCCATCAGGCCATTTTTTTCCACCCAAAAGTTCTCTAGCCTCTCAGTGAAGGAAGAGTCAATCAGACTTTGTAATTGGGAGAGGGAGGGAGAGAGAGAGAGAGAGAGAGAATGGAGATGGAGAATCACAGGGTCCCATAAGTGTCCGGTCCCTCTATCTCTCCAGTTGGCTTTTCCAGTTTTCTAATGGTGGAGATTGTGGAATGTCAGAGGAACCCTGGGGGGTGGTGCATGATAGGGTATAGCCCCCTAAGTCTGCAAAAATATTTTAAGGGCTCTGTGAACTTAGCCTGCACTTGGTATCTGTCTTCATTTAATATACCTCTGAGGGTTTTTTTAGTCTATTATAGCTTAGTTTACCCAATAAATAAGGAAACTACAAATGCCAGGGAAATATTTAGGTAACACCCGTTATCACACGTCTAATGGCTCCAAGTGATAAATTCTGCCAAAGTATCTGCTGAGAATATTTGACATTTGTCTTCCATCTCCTCCCCCCCAAAAAACTTGTGCACATTGTCATAAATAGGAGGGGAGATTGTATATTGTGCATTTGGTCGGGCCATCACTTGTTGTCCTGTGCTGGTCTCAGAGAATAATAAAGTACAAATAGCCTAACATGGGCCTTGTCTCTTGGCAATACTTAGCATCATAAAGGCTCCCTAAAAATTAAGCACCCACTGTCAAGGAGAGCAAGTTTTCAAAGACAACATGTGTAAACAGAGAATTCAGATGGCCTCCCTCTAAATCTTGAGAGGCTGCTGCTTCTGTGGTGTTTTCATCGCAATTGACACCCTGCAGAAGCATTGATGCTTCAGGGTCCATAAGCCTTAGCTAGCATGGCCATGGCTAGAAGGTACTGGAGCTGATGTGTCAACACCTTTGGGAGGCACCAGGTTGGAGGGAGCCAGCGAGGAAAATTGTTCTATCTAAACCTGTACTGTAAGCCTTGAGTAGCAGATTTTCAAAGAGAAGGAAAGGAGTGCTCTCTTTCCCTGTTCCCTGAACCTTTTTACTGAAAATGACAGGCAGGAAAACTTTGTGGGCCACAACTTTTTTCTCTGCCATGGTAGAAGAAGGAGCCTGAAGGCAGAACAAGAAGCAATGGATGGAAACTTATCAAAGAGAGATCCAACTTAGAACTAAGGCGAGATTTCCTGATAGAACAATTAATCAGTGGAATGATTTGCCTCCAGAAGTTGTGTGTACTCCATCACTGGAGGTTCTTAAGAAGAGATTGAACAGCAATTTGTCTCAAATGGCACAGGGTCTCCTGCTTGAGCAGGAGGTTGGAGCCAAGGTTGCCTACCCCTGGACTAGTCACTAGAAGACTTCCAAAGTCTCTTCCAACTCTATTATTCTGTTACTCTGTTAACAGAGTTGGTCCCAAGCTCTTAGACAACTAACTAGGGATCAAAGCATCAGAAATGACAGAAACCACTCATAATGGTTCAGTCTCTTTGGCTATCAAAGCACAGGGCCTGACCAGGACATTTGATGAAAATTTCCCTTGAAAATATAATGCGCTTTTCTGAAAACTGAAAGAAAGATACACAGTACACAGAGGGAGAGCTGAAATCAGATTGTACAGGACAGGGGTAGGCAACCTTGGCTCTTTTATGACTTGTGGACTTCAACTCCCAGAATTCCTGAGCCAGCATGGCTCAGCATGGAAACCTCTCCCTTTCCCCTCAGCATGGCTGCCTCAGGAATTCTGGGAGTTGAAGTCTACGAGTCATAAAAAGAGCCAAGGTTGCCTGGTACAGGAGAAATACAGGACTGTTACATTGATGCCTAAAATAAATGAAATCGAGGTGTTCCTTATTCTCAGCCCAAAATTGACATGTTCTGGTAGAGACTGTGTGTTCCTTCGAGTCAGTTTTTGACTCCTGATGACCACCTGGGCCAGTCCTTGCAGTTGTATTGGCCAGATTTCAGAAGTGGTTTGCCCTTGCCTGCTTCCTAGAACTGAGAGGGAATGACTGGTCCAAGCTCACTCAACTGGCTTTTGCCTAAGGCAGGACTAGAACTGGGGCAAAATTCACTTTATAACTGTCTTGCTCAGCAACAAAATTTTGGGTTCAATTGTGGTCATAAGTTAAGAATTACCTGTACATTCAGTTATGTCTGGAGGTATTCCCCCAATTAATGAACATACTTGGGATTGGGAACTGTGTCTCTAGCCAATGTGGTCATAAACCAGAAAAATCATGTGACTGCAGTGATTTATGCTGGCAGTTCTTGTTATGGCCATGAAGTGAATCAATAACAATTGTTGAGTCATATTACATGATCACAACTTGTGACTTCCTGCCGGTTTCCCCATTATGGACTGTGCTTGACAAAAGCCAACACCAAAGGTCACAAATGGTGACCACCTGACCATGGGATTCTGCAGTCCTTGTAATTGTGCATAAATTGCCAAGTGCACAAATCACAATCACATGACCGCAGAGACGCTGCAATTGTCCTAACTTCAAGGACCATCAGTAAGCCCGCTTGTTTAGCGCTGTTGTAACTTTGAATGGTTGCTGAATGAGCAAGGAGTATCCACAATTCAGAAAAGGAGGGCAGAAAGCCATAGCACTTTTTTTTGCACTGAAAAAATATAAAATTGGAACAAAACAGGAATTATCACAGTCAAGTGTAACATCTTTATTTAGCAGAGCCAGCATCTTTTTTCATAATTTACGCAGCAGCATTATTGCTTTGTTGATACAATCAATTTGTGCCTTTAATCTTTTGCTTATATGTCACGCATTTTAAATTTAGTTCTGGGGCTGTAAATGTATACATGGGTGTATATGACATATCTGGCCTAAATATGACCTAGACTCTGCCATATTTAAATACTGTCTGTCAGTCTGTTCAAGAGAAGCTCCTGAATGGAATGACCAACCATCCTCAACTTCACCTGTCTCGATTTTTTTTAAAGAAATTCAAAGGTTTATGTACACAATCCCAAGCTCTTTGGGGGAAAAGTTAAGACAAATTGATAAGGGGTGTTTTATGTCTGTTTCTTTACAGGAAGAAGATAATTGAACAGGAACACTGAGCCAGTCACCAATAGGCCTTGGCTCCTAGCATCAAGCCCACAGTTGTGTGGAGTTATTTTTTTGTAGTGGCTGTTGGTGGTTTCAAGGGCACAGGAGGGCAAGGACTGAAAGTAGGGGAGGCTCCCAAAGTAGCAAGACAATGATGGGGGGAGGGGGAATAAGCCTGGATTTGGAAATATCTCCAGCAAGATAAAATACCCGATTTGAGTACTTAGGTGTGACTGACTAAGTGTGCGAGGTAGTACTTCAGCCAACATTTGATGAGGAGGTGTGCCTGATACAGAAAATGGAGAAGGTGCCAGGAGAGTTAGGACCAACAGAGGCATCAGAACGAGCTGGAAGGGACCATTTTGCCATTCAGCCTAGGATCAGATGGGAGCTGCCCCCTGGGGCAATGTTACAGCCAGGGGGCATGCCTACCCAGTGGTGGGAATACCTGAAGACCAAGCCCTCTCCAGCCACAGTATGGGGCAGCCCAGTCCTCCCAGATCTGACCTCTTGGGATGACTTGATCACTTTTGAGAGAGTATTTGGAGTCTGTCAGTGGCCTGGCGGTGATGGGGTGCCCCGACTGAAGCCGGCTTTCAGTGCAGAAGGCCAGCAAGTGTTGAGTGGCAAGAACGCTAGAGGCAAAAAAACCTGTGGCAAAGTCAAGACCATCTTCCTGCAAAAAAACTCCCCCAGCACGGAGCTTCACCGTCAGCGCTTCAGGCAGTTCTGCTACCAGGAAGCCGAGGGGCCTCGGGAGGTCTGTGGCCGCCTGCGGGAGCTCTGCCTTTGCTGGCTGGAGCCAGAGTGCCGCACCAAAGAGCAGATTGTCGAGCTGCTGATTTTAGAGCAGTTCTTGATCATCTTGCCTCAGGACATTCAAAATCAGGTCAGGGAACGTAGCCCGGAGACCTGTGCCCAAGCAGTGGCCCTGGCTGAAGGCTTCATTTTGCGGCAGCAAGAAGACAAGCAGCAGGAGGAGCAGGTGAGGCCTGTTCATTCCAGGACAAGCAGTAGGCAAAATGAAGCCTCATACCTGGTCCCCTTCTCCCTCTGCCCATGATATCAGATGCTACGTTTGGGTCATGTCCATCTCAGGCTAGGAAATTTACGCCATTTCTCCTAGGGTGGAACTATGGCTCCCGCCAGTCCCAGATCAAGAGACCAATGCTGAAAGGTGGTTGACCTCTACTCTGCCCGTTCACCCTTTTTATTTAAAAACATGCAGTAATGGCTAGTATTGCTGCATAAACTAGCAGCAAGCAAACCTGTTCATCTATTTAGTCACCTTCTGGGAATAAAGAGAAAGGAAGTGGTTCCCCATTAATGAAAAAGACCCCATTATTCTCCTCTTTGGCTAGTTTTCATCTTCTGAAGTCTCAGGTTTCCAAAAAGCTGGAACATGAGAAAAAGCAAAATGGGAAGTGTAATTTGTACAATACAGGTAGTCCTCAACTTACAACAGTTCATTTAGTGATTATTCAAAGTTACAATGGCACTGAAAAAAGTGATTTATGACTGTTTTTAACACAACCGTTGCAGCCTTCCCATGGTCACATGATCAAAACTCAGATGCTTGGCAACTGGTTCATATTTATGATGGTTGCAGTGTCCTGGGGTCATGTGATCAGTTTTTGCACCCTTCGGAGAAGCAAAGTTAATGGAAAATCCAGATTCACTTAACAAGAATGTTCCTAACTTAACAAATGCAATGATTCACTTAACAACGGTGGCAAGAAAAGTTATAAAATGGGCCAAAACCCACATAACACATGTTTCACTTAGCAACATAAATTTTGGGCGCAATTGTGGTTGTAACTTGAGGACTACCTGTATTAGCTTCTGATGGCACAGAAGTAGCAATAAAGAAGGATTTTGCTCTGCTTTCTCTGATGGCCTCAAAAAGCTCCTCGTTCTACCTAATGGGACCTCTCTGGGGGCCTGGTCTTATGGGGCAGGCAGCCCAGTGCTCCTACAAACTCATCACTGTTGGGACTCAACATGCTCAACAATTGTTGGAAATGCAAACAAAGGCCAGGTACTTATTACCACATCTGGTGGACATGCCCTAAAGCAAAAAGGTATTGGGCTAAAATACATTTATGGTTGGAGAAGATGACTAAAAAACAAATAGACTTTAAACCAGAACTGTTTTTGTTAGGAATAATAGGAGCCAAGTATGAGAAATGCTACATGTATTAACAGCAGCAAGAATTGTATTTGCCCAACATTGGAAAAATGAAAACTTACCAACTGAAGAAGTACTAATTAAGAAAATTCTAGAGTGCGCAGAAATGGATAGATTGACTTTAGAGATTAAAGAGAAAGAAGATTCAGTCTACTTTAGAACATGGGATAACTTTTATCAATGGCTAGAAAAACGAGTCAGAGAGAAAGGAATGTGACATGTAATTTTGAATATATATTAGTAAGAAGAAGGCTACTGAATGATTAATTAATACTGTTTATGATAATTAACTACATCTATTATTTTTAGTTAAATACATGTACCCAGATAATATGCTGTTTGCTAGATATTGAAAATGTTACCTGGGAAAACCCCAACCCTAACCCAAACCCCAATCCTAATCCCGACCCCATTTTATCCCTAACCCTATTAAAACTAATAAAATTTATATTTAAAAAAACCATGCTCATAGGACTAAAAAGGAGTGAGCAATGTTGGCCCTCCATCTTTGATGGAGTTCAGCTCCCATCATCCCCCACTAGTGGCAAGTATACTACCAGGCTGGAAGGAAACTGAAATTTAACCAATCTGGAAGACTTACTCATTTCCTGCTCTAAACTAATGAGAAAGTCCCCCAGTTCTGCTTCTAAATGCTCTCTGCTTTTGTAATATTACATATATATGTCATTCTAAAAAATATAATTGGTTGCAGAAGTGAAGTTCCATTCTTCAAAATGGAGAGAGAACATTTGTCCCAAATAAATGGAGCATAATAATAGTAGTAGCAGTTAAATTCAGGTCATAATGAAAGATGCTTTACTAGAAGTCTGGAAATGTTTAAATGATGAAAGGGAGTGGAACATAAAGTTTCACTATTTCCACTTATGTTTTTGAAGTTTTATAAAAACAGTTTTTATTGTTCTTTCAGTTCTATTTATAGGGTTTCTTTTTTTATCATTAGCTACTTATCACTGTTTTATGTTGGCTGCTTCTATTTTCATCTTCAGGAAATCTAGCAAGGAGAAAAAAAAAAGCTGTGCAAAAGAGTGTAGTGGTATTGAAAGTTATTTACCTTGAGATCACACATTATTCTGATTCCTAAGACATGATTTGCAACGTACAGTGGATGATTTAATAGAATAACCCAAAGCCAAATAAATTACATTATGGCATGCAGAGAAACATGTGAATCCAGCCAGCCATTCTGTCTCTATATTGGTAAATCTTGGATGCTGGGAAAATGCTATAATCTTTGAGATTCTTCTTGCCCTGGTTAAAATAGCCCACCATGGCTATAAAAATGCAGTTGTATTTCACTTTGATTTGCAGGGATTGTTTTTTAGAAGCTCACATAGTTATCTTTTAACTTTTAATAGCTGAGATCAAGTGCACAACCCCTTGAATCAATGTACACTGTCTATAGTTCACTACACCTTCACCCATCATGTCTCTATGAACCTGACCTTCATTGTTGTTTCAGGGGACTCGATCACCTCAAGATGTGGCTGTGGATTTTTCAGAAGCACAGAGGGTGTCATTGGAGGTCAGGCAGCAGCAATCCAGCAGCAAGATACGGAGGGTGGATATTGTTAACCTTTCAATGGGTAAGGACATCTTTAGCCTCAGTTTGCAATTTGTCACTTTTGAATAGATACCAATTGATGTCTTTATGGAGCAGATGGCATTTTTAGGACAATATATGTTGTAGGAAGGGTGGGGTGGGAATTGTTAACCTTTAACTGCACAGTATAGTTCCAGAAAGTGACAGACAGATTCCTGCTCTCCCCATGTGAATTATTCCAAGAAGTTTCCACAGAATTCTATTTTACCTCTGAAGCCATTCAGTATTTCTATGAATCTGCGGAATTTGGAAGTTCAGTTCCAAAGATTAGACTGTCTTTGAAAATTGATGAACATTCAGTTTTAGTTTGTCAGATGATCATAAGGCTCACAAGACTCTTCCTTGTATACAGTCTTCCGGGGGGGGGGGACTTATTTTCTGTCACCAGCTTTTTCAGACCAGAACTGAATGTTATCTTTAACTTCTCTTTTAATGTTTAAATTTGTATTTTGATTTTTCCTCTTAACTACAGTGCCTGTTTATAATGTGTTACATAGGCTCATAAACTGAGGTATAAAGCCTCAGAGTTACCCTTAATTCTAATAGAAGTATTCAAAAAAGGATGATTAAAATAGTTAGAAATTGCCGTGATTTTCAAAATGGACATTGTGTTCTTCAGTTTATAGGTATTTGGTATTTTTTATACTAGTTCTAGCTACATGATCATGAGATACTGCATAAATTACCATACATTGCTGTGTATGGGCACTTCAATTTATGATAACCTGACTTAACAATTTCCCCCAACCTGTATACTATTTGATTACAGGGAATTGCTGTACAGATAGTCCTCGACTTACAACAGTTCATTTGAAGTCACAGTTCGAAGTTACAGTGGCACCAAAAAAAGGGTCTTATGACCATTTTTCACACAACCATTGCAGCATCTCCATGGTCACATGACCAAAATTCAACTGACTCATATTTAGGATGGTTGCAGTGCCCCGGGATCTTGTGATCCCCTTTTGCAACCTTCTTTTTTTTTTTTCAATATAAAATTTTATTGTTTTTATCATAAGAGAAAAAAGAAGTACATCACAGGTATTACACAATGATTTATCCCATCCCCCCACCCCCCGGACTTCCCAAACCAAACCTAGGCTAACATTCAAATACAAGTAAACAAATATTAATATCTCTAACTCCAAACTCTAAACTTAAACAATCCATCTCCTCCGTATTAATAAAAATTATTCATTTAATTAGTTCTTCAAATACCCAAAATCTTTACCATTTCAGCAAGATAGTTTAACAGCATCCCTTACTTATACAAAAAAAGAAAAGAAAAAAAAAAATTTCCATCTTCCATAAAGTTAACAAGTTAATTCTGTCATTTCATGAAGCTAGACCTATAAAAAATCATTTGGAACCCTTAATAAGGTTTACAACTTCAATTACTTAATTATCATTCAATTGTTTTCAATTATTGCAGCATTATTATATTTATAATAATCTTCCTTTTAATAAAAATTATTCCTTTAATTAATTCTTCAGATACACCATTTCAGCAAGATAGTTTAACACCATCCCTTACTTATACAAAAAAAAAGAAAAGAAAAAAAAAAAATTCCCATCTTCCATAAAGTTAACAAGTTAATTCTGTCATTTCATAAAACTACCCTATAAAAAATCATTTGGAACCCTTAATAAGGTTTACAACTTCAATTACTTACTTATCCTTCAGTCATTTTCAATTATAACAACATTATTATATTTGTAATAATCTTCCTTTTAATAAAA